GTAATGTCGTGACGTTCCATAAGTAGTTTACGTCTGGATTGACATCGCTTGTATTTGAAACTAATCCTATTTAATATCCTGTGCAATGTTGTGATGCTTCCCTGAAAATTGATGTCTTCTCTAAGAGCTGCTCGTAATTTAGCCAAAGTTGGTAATTCTTTATGCACAACGTAAAAACTGTGAATTTTTTGCCGGATAGCGCACAAATCGAACCCGTTTAAGTCAAACTTTTTCGGATGCGGGCGACTCTTCCCCGGGGTGACAATTTTTTTCGAAGTACTCGCCGCTGTTATACCTTTTTTTGTAATTCTTGTTATAGTTTTCTCTGACACACCTGCAATTAAAGAATGTACAATTAAAAATAATAGTCACTTTAAGTTTATAATGCTTATGTACTGTGTAATATACGTTCTAATTTCGGTTACCTAATTTCATCACGTTATGTATTTGTTCAATTTTGTCGCAAAACGAATTTATATCATAAAAGTCCCATCAATACAGCAAAAAATTATTATATGGCAAGTACCTGTTATGGCGGCGACTCTCTTCCGAACATTGTTCAGTGGTATTAAAACACCTTGATTCTTTTGTTCAGCTTCATAGAATTCTTTCACCTTCAATATCATTTCTCGAGCCGAACTTTTTACAACTTTTGGCATTGTAAACAATCTTTAAAATGCACTAAGCTAGTTTAAAACTCACAAAAATCTACCACAACAAACGAACTTGACAACATCGAAGAACGACAACATGGCCGACCTGTCAAATTTAGTTCCAAAAATCACCGCGGGACTTCTTTCATGAAAAGGACTTTACAGTTATTGTCCACCCTCCTGCAATACGTATCCACAATATTTTTATGATAATACGCGATTAAAAATACAATAGGAAGCCTTTTAATCACATTATGTTATAAAAGAACACCTAATAATGAAAAATGTGGACAAATGACAGAAATTAAGTGTGTTGTTCTTAAAAAAAATCACAAAAAACTTATCCGCCACGAAAATAACTTTTTTTATTGTAGTTCGTGGCCTGGTATCTAGACCTTTAGGCCATTCCACGAAAGTGATGTTATTTTAAATGTTACCAGTTTATTAATACTAAATGCTACCACGATTACTATAGTGCGCGCCACATAAACCTAGTGATTATATTCTCTTTGGTGTGCGCAAGATAACTCTGCGCGCGGCCAAAATTGGAACTAATCGTGTTCCGCCATCTTACTGTTTATGGCAGGTGTCAAAACAGATTGTTAGGTGTCGCGATTTTATTCGTTTTTGCAGTAAATAATCGTCATCATTATGCCGAAAGTGATTATTAAAAAAGTTAAACTTGAAATAACGCTTCCTAAGTGAGTGCAGTCCACATAGATTTAGCGAATAATTAGCACAAGGCGTTTTCTACGTGGTAGAGCCATGCTGCAGCTATATTAGTATTATAGTTGTAGCACAACGGTCGGCTCGACCGGAAAAGGACCACGCACTCACAGAATACTAGCGTAAAATAGTGGGTATAGAGTAGAGAACCGCAGACCCTTTTTACTGGAAAAGGCATTCCATCTTAGTCCTCGCGGGTGACAATGCATCTGCATTTTGATTCGCAAACGAGGATAGATGTAGATGTCTATGGGCCACAGCAACCACTTACCATCCGGTGGACTGTGTGCTCGTTTGTCACCCTATCCTATCAAAAAAAAATATATTCATTCATTTGACAACTTCAAAATTTTAAATTATGTTGTCATCTATAGCGTACAATGCACCCCCTAGTTTTTACTGACAGATCATTCGTGTTTTAGTGGTTTTTGTTTTCGTGTTACTAATTAAATTAATATGCTTAATTGAAATACAATATGGAAGATCCCAACTATGATTAGCGATAAAAAATGTAAGATTATCGTTCTAGCATTCGTCTAAAATATTACTTTAAGTCAATAACTGTCTAAATGTTGGTAATGTTTTTATTTTGTGTAAACATTTATCAAATAAAATACAAAACTCGGTGCCTCTCTTTCTAAGAAAAACGACGACCGGTTACAATGTTCCAAGCGCTGACTCCCTATATTATATTAATTAAATTAACCTCCTTGACTGGCGTATAGTAAAAACGCGACCCCCCCTACCCCGCCTATGAATTTGGAGTATACATATATACTTAATATATATATATATATATATATATATATATATATATATATATATATATATATAAAACTTGCTCGTTTAAAGGTGTTAGATTTGTAGAGGCAAAGTTGTATAAATTTAAAATTTGAAATTAGATTTTAAAAAAAGTAACCATTCACTTTCACTACAACTAGTGTAGCTGTCGTTGCTTAGATTAATTATTATTGGATTTTCAATAATGTAGTCAAAATGAATGCCTCTTTCAAAGTCATCCATAATATTTTTCTTTGTTTTCTCCACCACTTTTGCCTAATTATTCTTTGTGAAATGGGTACATGCTTCATTCAACAAACCTTCCGTTTTCTTCACAAAGCATAAGATATTTTCATCTCGTGAGTTTTTAAGTAGGGATAATAATATGTTTGGATTAAGAACATTTCATATAAGATAAGCTTTTGCTTTGGGCCACAATCAATTCAATAGCATTAATGTCGTATAGTTGTAGTCTAGTGATATTCACAGGAATATTTTGTAATAAACTTATAAACCACTCTTTGAATTTTCCTTCATATATTTCCTCATCGTATTCTCCTGTACTCTTTAAATGGAAAGCTAATAAAGAATCTTCTACAAATCCTCCTCCGGCGAATCCCATATCACCTTTTCCCACGGGTACCTCCAAGCAAATTGCTGTACATATTACATATCGATTCACGTATCAATACACACAGTTCAGTTCATATATATTGCTGTACAGAACATATTTAAGTAGTAAAATTATGATAATAAATATTACGCCGAACGTAGTACGCGCCGACGCGATGTTTGACTCGGTTTAGGTCGACAATACTCGGCACTATTCGCATTATCTATTATCCTGCATCCTGCATATTAACTGGCCAGTGCGGTTCACAGAGTAGGTACTTTTATATATACTGAAAGTGCGGTTTTAAACTCAATGCTAGATGCTACGCTCACGCTGCCTGAGTAAGCGTTATTTAAATCGCGTGAAACTATCATCGGCTTCCTAGCTCAGTTATCTTTTCTACAACTAATTATTTACTTTTATTCTCCACCTCTTTCCCTCGCTCTGTAGTCTAAACTTGTATTTCGCACTGTTTTTTTGTGTGAGAGTAAAAAATTATGTTTAATTCATGGAGTGTAGAATTTTTATTTGCATAGCATCCATCCCACACGCCATAAAATGTAAACAAAAATTATTTTATTTATTACGACGTACCTAAGTTTAAAGTATGAAGGGAAAATTCTTATCATAGTATAGAGCGTGTCATTAAGGAAGTAAACAGTAGGCAAAAGCTCCGTTACGTAGTACTATTATTTAGTTTGTGGGTCCGTGAATTGACTCCGACTCCGAGCACGCCCATTCTCACGAATAACCTACAAACCTTTTTGAAGCGGAGCTTATCGCGGTTTCTATGATATAATATCTTCTTATTTTTTTTCAATTTTTTTTAGAAACTTTACCCCTACACTAGGATTTTCTCCTATATCGTGGAGGCAGTTCACATACATAGATTGCACGAGGACAAATGTGCAGACCCGGAACAATTATTTGTAGGCCATTCAAATACTTGTTCCGTGCGGGATTCGAACCCGCGGCCCCCAGCACAATAACTCATTGCTAAGCTTCTGCGCCACGGAGCCGTCAAAATATAATATTATAATTTGTAATATAATATTAAAGTTTGTCCATCATGCAGATCGCTGATGTTTTTGTACTCATGAATGTGTTGTCTTAAGAAAATGATATAGCTAAAAATAAATTATGTGCCTATATATACCTATATTACTACCTATTTCATAAATTTTAAACTACGTCTGTCAGTATTTTTTAATAAGAGTGTGTGTGTGTGTGTGTGTGTGTGTGTGTGTGCGTGTGCGTGCGTGCGTGTGTGTGTGTGTGTGTGTGTGTGTGTGTGTGTGTGTGTGTGTGTGTGTGTAACTTTTAAAGGGCTTGACAGATTTTAACGAATTTGGTGGTGTACGAAATGGCGGTGTACGAAATGGCTTCACCAAACTTAGATTTTCTATACATAGATATAGATATCTGAAGAAATCTCAAAAATAAAATTTTCATAAAAATGTTCTTTCGAAATAACTTTTATACAGATGTAATGATCTATTCCAAATTCCAATCAGCTCTTAAACTCTAAAAACGCCACCGATCGCTGCAAATCACATCAAAATCGGATGAGAAATCGTTAAATAAAAGTTTTGAAAAAAGTACTTTTTTCAAATAACTTTGACATTTCATCTCGAATCGTTTGTGATGTAATAAGTTACGTTTGAGCTCTTCGAAAAATTTCTTTAGAGGGAAAAAGAGCGCTCCAAATTCATAATAGATGGAATTTGGATCGCTCAGCATTTGAAATTAGCGGGAAGTACCAGGGATGGCCTGTAGGATCAACCGTATTTTTAAGTATTTTTATTATCCAATAGTGTTTTTCATATTAGCTATAAATTCGCTTTTAAATCACGCATACCTTCATTATTATTAAAAATAATTGTTATTATATCACTACGGTCAAACATATTCAAACTACAAAAAATAAATCATTTTTTCCTTTAAAAGTTTAAAATAAAGAGATACGATTTAAACAACACACAACAAACTGGCATATTATGTCAATTTTAGTTCCTGGTACGAACAATGGCAACGCTTCAAATCAACACAAACATTTTTTAAGGTACCTATAGCCCACAAACTAATAAGGTATAGCCAGTCCAGCGTATTGTGTAAATAGAGGTCAGTGCTAAGGGTCAGTGTGTATTTCAGAAAAGTTGCCCGTCAGCTTAAAAGACAAGAATCCAAGCTTAAAGTCTTAATAAAAGAAGTTGTCCGTCACCGTCATCAAATCAGCCGTCATTATTAAGTATTTGTATATTTTGTCGGCTATTTTATATGATTAATCATAAAAATGGCCAAATTAGTCGATATATACAATAGCGAAAAAGATCCTGTAATCAAAAGAAGGCAGTTGCCGTTAACTATATATGAAAATCTCACTGTAAGTGGTTTAATTTACGTTTTGACATTACCACAAACGTAGATTAATTTTCGTTATTAAAAATTTGATCATGTGCTTCAGGAATTTTTAATTTGCTTACTAAAGTTAGTTGCTTCTGTTATTTAAGTTAACAGCAAACGACTTATCTTTCTAATAGAATGTTTGGCAAATCAAATATTCCAAGATGAATGTCGTTTGGTGGTCGACCTTAATTTATATCATAACTCACTCTTGTCTACAGTTTTTATTATTATTTTTCAGATGATAATGGATTTAAACACAATGGGCTTGATATGTGACAATCCACAAGTTAAGGGACGCGAATACGAAGAATTCATGCGAAAATATAGAATTTTATCGATAGAAGAACTAAAAGCTGCACTGAGGGTCGACGCGTCAGATATATTTAATGTATTAAACCAAAGCATTCCTTGTGTTGGCTGTCGAAGAAGGTATTGTATATAGATTAAGTAACATGAGGGTTTGAACAAATACTATTTTATATCATAAGCAACAACAATATTTTCAAACATGGATTTAAAATAGTTAGAAGCACTAATAAAATAACACTATTAACTAGTAAGATAGTTTCTCCTTTGCGTTAAAAGATGAATTGAATTTTTTAGATTTCTGTTTAATTTTTTTTAACAAATAGTGATGAAGGACTAGATTAACACCTTCAATATTATAATGCGGAGGGAGGGAAGGAGGCAAACTCCCCTGCTGTTGTCCCTCCTTGAAAATACGTATTTTTTTAATAATATTTTTTCAATTTCCTAGTTGAGTCACAGTTTGAAGTATTTTAGTCAGGGTTGGCTGATTTAAATCAGACTGATTTAAATCATGATTTAAATCACGATTTAAATCGCTTGATTTTGATTAAAAAAATCATGGATTTAAATCAAAATCTGTAAATTAATGTAATAGGCAGAAAATGAAATAAAACTGGCTTAAAATATGGTAAAATCTTGTTGTTTTATGTTATTCTTATTATTCTACTACAATAGTCTAATAAACTTTGTAAAATCAACAACGACGTAGCGATGAGGTCTGTCAGTCTCATCATCATCATCATCATCATTACAGCCCTTCACAAGTCCACTGCTGAACATAGGCCTCCCCCAAAGAATGCCACAAAACACGGTCCTGAGCCACCTGCATCCATCGACTTCCTGCATGTCTTACCAGGTCGTCACTCCATCTCGTGGGGGGACGCCCTACACTTCGCCTACCGGTACGAGGCTGCCACTCGAGAACCTTTCTTCCCCATCGGTTGTCGGTTCTTCGAGCTATATGGCCGGCCCACTGCCACTTCAGCTTACTAATCCGTTGGGCTATGTCGGTCACTCTGGTTCTACTGCGGATATCCTCATTCCTAAGTTTATCACGCAGAGAAACTCCGAGCATAGCGCTCTCCATAGCTCGCTGAGCGACCTTGAGCTTCCTCATACGGCCAGCAGTGAAGGACCACGTCTCAGTTCCGTAAGTCATCACTGGCAACACGCACTGGTTGTACAATTTCGTTTTAAGGTTTTGAGGTATGTCTGACGAGAAGATGTGTCATAGCTTCCCGAACGCTGCCCAGCCGAGTTGAATCCGTCGATTGACCTCTCGGTCGAAGTTGGACTTACCCAGTCGGACTATTTGTCCCAGGTAAACATACTCGTCAACAACTTCGAGCTTAGTGTTCCCAACAACTACCGGCATAGGTGTGACATGGACATTAAACATGATCTTAGTTTTGTCCATGTTCATCTTAAGACCTATCCGTTGGGAAACACTATTGAGGTCATTGAGCATAGTGCTTAGGTCCTCCAGCGATTCTGCCATAAGGACTATATCGTCGGCAAATCGAAGGTGAGTGATGTACTCGCCATTGATGTTGATACCGTATCCTTTCCAGTCCAGAAGCTTGAAAACGTCTTCCAATGCAGCGGTGAAGAGTTTCGGGGATATGACGTCACCCTGTCTTACACCTCTCTGCAATTGGATAGGTTTCGTACTCTGGTTCTGTACTCGGATAGCCATCGTAGCCCTACTGTACAAGCACTTCAACACTTCGATATACCGACAGTCAACTTGGCACCGCTGAAGGGACTGCAGCACCGCCCAAATTTCGACGGAATCAAAGGCTTTCTCATAGTCCACATACGCCAGACATAGTGGCAAATTGTACTCTTCAGACTTCTGTACAACTTGCCGAAGGGTATGTATGTGGTCTATGGTGCTAAAGCCCTTTCGGAAACCGGCTTGTTCGGGAGGCTGGAAGTCGTCAAGTCTGCGCGCGAGACGATTCGTAATGACTCTTGAAAACAGCACGTAGACGCGGCTCAGAAGGGAAATCGGTCTGTAGTTCTTCAAGAGAGCGTTGTCACCTTTCTTGAAGAACAAGACCACCGCACTTCTGCTCCACGCCTCCGGTGTAATGCCACCATGGAGGACGGAATTCAGTCTCATAAACTTACTAAAATCATTTTTTTTAGAAATTCACCCTTAATATATGAACTGTAATTAATACAGTATTAATTATTTTACTCTTAATCAGTCTCATACATATCTATACAAATAAATAAAATTGAAGTGTCTGTTTGTAATGTCAAAATTACGGCTTTTAACTAAATGCATATGAAAGTATATATACGATACGTATAACAAAAACACAATTTTTAAAATTTTTGTCTGTCTGTCTGTCTGTCTGTTTATTCCGGCTAATCTCTGAAACGGCTGAATCAATTTGGACGGGACTTTCACTGACAGATAGCTGATGTCATAAGGAGTAACTTAGGCTACTTTTATTTTATAAAAATAATTAGGGTTCCGCGCAAAAAAACTAAAACCCCAAATAACATGCGGGCGAAGTCGCGAGGAACAGCTAGTGTATTCATAAACTTATAATCCTACTATGTCAAAAATTGTTACCAACTCGTGAAATTCCAAATATACAAAAAAAAATCAAAAAATTCAAAAAAATCAAAAACATCATGATATTTTTAAAAAAATCAGCATGTTTTGATTAAAATTAAAAAAATCATGATTTTTTCCATCCCTGATTTTAGTAGAATTTTATTTTAAAATAGAAAGGTGAGAGGGTAAGATGCAGCTATTGCCGTAACCCTCCCTCTAAAATGCATAGTTTTATTGGAATTCCCATCAAAACTAGTTTTGAGCAAATCTGCAGTCAAAAGCACTTTGTTACCAGCCAAACCCAATTTTAGGACAAATTACTTTTTCCTAGGCTAAGGAGGCGTTCAAGTATTACGTAACGCAATTTTTGAAGATTTTAGACCCTCCCTTCCCCCCATGTAACGCATCGTAACGTTTTTCTGTACCCTCTCTCCCCCTCCCTAAATGTTAAGTAACACCCAAAGGATGATTTTTATCTAAAAGTACCGAAAAGTACATCTAAAAAGTCTATCAACATCTATCTGAAGTGTCTGTTTGTAATGTCAAAATAACAGCTTCTTACTAAATATATATGAAAGTATATATGGTACGTAAAACAAAAACACAATTGTTAATATATTTATCTGTCTGTCTGTCTGTTTGTTACGGCTAATCTCCAAAACGGCTGGACCTATTTTGACGGGACTTTCACTGGCAGATAGCTGATGTTATAAGGAGTAACTTAGGCTACTTATATTTTAGAAAAGAATTAGGGTTCAGTGCAACGTAATTAAAACCCTAAATTACACGCAGAAGAAGTGGGGAACAACTAGTAATAAATAAAACAGGAGATTTCTATCTCGTAATACATGCATAGGCACATTGTTTATTTTATTTGTTCATATTGTTATTTAATAAAAAAATTACATAATGTAATAAACATATGCTTAAGTTTTAAATATGTTAAAATGGGCTCAAATTTGTCTTAATAAACATTTACTACTAATCTTACATTTAATTACGCCGTTTTCCTGACTTGGCCCTGTCCTTACATACATTTTTGGCTTTCTCCACGATTGTTCTTCTCTATCTTCTTATCCTTCTATTTTTTGGCACAGTTGCGCTGGCAAGTCAGCATGAGAGCCTTTATAGACCAAGAATAGCTGATGATGCATATGTCCTTTTGAGGACATTACAGTATGAAATCTTTTTAACAATACTGACTACAATAATGTGCTTTTGCATAAACACTAATGAATACTCACAATCACAACAAAAACAAAATAGAATGATGTACAGCACAGTCGAGGGATTCCCCGTAAACATACACGAAAAGGGTTGCCAACATGGGAGAATTTAACTCGTTTTTTTACATAAAGAAAAAAAATAATGTTACGTAACACCTTGTTCAAACCCTCCCTTCCGCCCCTGTAACGCATCGTAACGTTTCACAAGAACCTCCCTCCCCCCAAATTGTGTTACGTAATACTTGAATGCCCTCTAATCTAGTTGTTCTTAGTTGACATGTGGCTAGAGTGGCCCTTGGACCACCATAACCTACAGTTATTGATATTACTTTCCCAACAGGATCACGTCATGTTAGATGTAGTTATGCTAGCTTGCAAAAAACTGGTTAAACCAAGAAAAAAACTACTTTTTTGTTTTGGTTTTTGATTTTTTTTTATAGGATAAGGGTAACAAACGAGCACACAGTAAACTTCTACATTTCTCCTTAATTAAGAATAAAAATTCAGATGCGTTGTCACCTCTGAGGACTGAGATGGAATGCCTCGTTTTCAGTAAAAAGGGTCTCTGCTTCTCTACACTCACCAGCGTAAAATAGCAGCATTAAGCTGCTATTTTACGCTGGTGTTCTGTGAGAGCGTGGTCCTACCCAGGTTGAGCCGATCCATTCGTGCTGCAACTACAATATAGCTGCAGCATGGCTCTACCACATTTTCACTAATAATAATCATCACTATTTTGTACCCATTCTATATCTCAACCTTTACTTATGCCTAGATCAGGTGACAGACAGATAAGACTTCCTAATAGCAACTACAAAATGATAAACTGTGGTTGCCAACTCGCCTGCTAAGTATGACAGCTATGGTAAATATCCGCCTTATGAGGCAATCTATGGAAAGGCTTATGTTCAGCAGTGTACTGTGATAGGCTGTAATGATGATGATGTTGCTAAGATTCTGGTCTTGTTTAATATTTTGTGGGATTATCCTAGCGGTTCAATAAAACGGAGATTCCATGGGTAAAAGATCTCATGTTTTTAGTTTTCTTAAAGGGTTGTGTTGAATCTTGGATTTAAGGGTGATTGACAATTCCTTACAGCACAGGATCACCCCAATCTTTTTATGCCTTGACAGAGGAATTGTTTGTGTATTTGTAGATAGCATCTTCAAAATGACTGACAACTCAATACCTACTTTGTGCAAATCAATTGCTGCAATTCTGTTTTAACACCCCATGCCATAATGTAATTTAGCAATCACTGTGAAAAGTAATATGTGAAAATTAGCCAAATAAATCAAAATTGTTACATAATAAACATTCCAAATTTGAATTCAGAAAAGAAATAAATTTTTAAATTATATTTTATGGCTAGACAGGTTATTGTTGTACTTTGTAATTAATTTTGTCATCATCAAATAAAAGAAAAAATATTAATAACTTGATAAAAGTGTCCCAGAAGTCGACGTCAAGCCGGAATCGGGTGATAGGTCAAGTCATAATAGTTAAAAGAAAAATATAAATGAAAATCTTTGCAATGTATTTGAAAATTACAGGTTACAAAAAAAAATCGAGAAAATTACATCTTGTGACTTTTAACTACTGTTGCTACAAATTTTAACTTTTTTTTTTCATTTTTTTATTATGTAATCTTGAATAATGCTTCTGAAAACTGTTGCTTAAAATTTACAGTCTGCTCCAGTCCAGAAGGAAATGTAATTTTTTTCCCAACCAAGTATTCAAAATTAATACTTTGCCCAGATTTAAATGACTGTACTGAAAAAAAATGTACTAAACAAGTGTGGCAAGTTTTTTTTTTTATAGAATAAGGGTGACAAACAAGCACACAGTCCACCTGATGGTAAGTGGTTGCTGTGGCCCATAGACATCTACATCTATCTTCGTTTGCGAATTAAAATGCAGATGCATTGTCAGCCGTGAGGACTAAGATGGAATGCCTCTTTTCCAGTAAAAAGGGTCTCCGGTTCTCTACACTCACCATACGAAACACAGCAGCATTAAGCTGCTATTTTACGCTGGTAAGGTTCTGTGAGAGTGTGGTCCTTCCTCAGTCGAGCCAACCCATTCGTGCTGCAACCATACTATTAATATAGCTGCAGCAAGGCTCTACCACGTATATATAGTAACTTTAAAAGACTTTTTCATATTTGTCTGTTAACTTATATGACTTGACTTATCACCCGATTCCGGCTTGAAGCCGATTTCTCGACACACTATATGTATGAGTTTTCTAATACTTTATTATTATTTTATTTCAGTGTTGAAAGACTCTTTTATCAACTATGTAAATCAGGACATCCAACATTAGACCCTTTGATACTTACACCAGATGAGACAATGACAATAAGAGAAGATAAATTAACACATTCACAGTCTCTTGCCACTCTGCTAAATGGTCACAGGTAAGTAGTCCTATATCTATAGTAGTATTTGTTTTATCTCTTGACCACCAAAATCATTGATTTTTAAAAGTTGGAACTTAATGAGTTGATATAATATGAACCTCTTTCTCTATCTATGTTTTCTGTGCAATAAATGTGATCATTATAATTAGAATTTTCATTTATTTAAATAAAAAAAAATATATTTACCGTCTAAATGGTTATTAACTTATTACTGAAGATTGTCCTTATTGGTTAAGTTTCGCATCTTTCCTTTCAATAGTAACAAGTTTTATTAGATTTTTAAATATTACCTTATTAAAATATAAATCAAACAATGTGATGAAATCATATAAAAAAAAAAACAATGGTTATTCTTAATCTTTATTAAAACTGAAAACCTAAAGGAATTAGCCTATAAACTCATTGCTAGATATTTGCCCTTTCCATATTGGATAAAAATTCTTTAATAGTTGCATATAACAGGTTGATTGGCTGTCTTATATGACATAAATTGTTACTACTTATTACTGTGTATTTTTATATTTATTTAAAGTGTTTAAAATTGTTTTCATCACAATATTTGTATATTACTGTTACTGTTACCGGGTTGGGTTTAGAATCATTTGGCAGGAATTTGGGGAGTAAGGTGTTTTATTTGGTCCTCGATTATAATAATACCACTCACATTAAAAGGTAATGCACCGTTATCGAATAAATAAATAAATAAAAACTATCATAACCTAAAATGCGTAAAACATGGAAAAACATATGCAATATTACTGTGAAAGCTGGATAGCATACATAATTTTGTGTAATTGCGACAATTGCGAGAATTTTGTATAATTGATCTGATCGAATCTATACTAAAATTAAACCAGCACGCCCCGACTCTACGTAGACTTCTCTGCCCTAATCCTAGAGTGTTTTTGTAAAGTCGTAGGTGCGGAGGGAGAGCAGGCCCCGCCCGCCGTAGCAAATCAGGCTCACCTCCGCAGCTTCAGTTTATTGGTCGCCTTCGACGATCAGCCTTAGCCGCTAGGGCTCGCACAGGTGTCTGTGATTCGCTATGCAAGGGTGAAGGGGCTGCACTTCCACAGCGTCGAAGCCGTTGTAGAAGAAACTTTAGGTCAATATTCCTGTGTAAAAAAGAGAGGTTATGATTTTAGAAAAAAACCATTACTCATTAACTATACTTTTCTGCAACGAGGGAAAGGAATTTCCTGATAGGGCACACTCCTGCTCCCCTCTTCCCCCCTTCCCCTCTCCTGCCGTAGACGTTAAATGTTACTTTCAGGTTAGGTCTATAGGATTTTTTTTTGATTTTTCTCAAGAACAGTGTATTACCTTTTAATGGGAGTGGTGTCGGGATTAATAGGACGCTCACACTTCCTCTCCCTTCATCCCGTGCCCCCTACTGCCAAACGATTCTAAATTTCAACCGATTTTGCCATAGTTGTCATCCTGTCTAGGCGGGTTGTTTGTCAACCACAGTTTTTTTTAAATAGTATTTTGAGTTTATTAGTGGATGCCGCCCATCTCCTTTATGCCTATATTACATCAAATCCAGTGGGCTTATGTAAGTTTATGTAAATAAAAAACTAGGCACAAATCTTTCAGCACGGGTATAGAATGTCTAATTCTAAGTCAACCACGTTGGAAAAAGTCGCAGAGGTGTACACTACATTCTTTGGAGGCGGGTGGGGCACGTGGTTGGGGGGCGGGGTCCGGGGCCGGCGCGGGCGGCGGGGCGGGCGGCGCGTGCGGCGCGTGGGGAGCGGGCGCGTGCGGCTGGGGCTGGGGCGCGGGCGCGGGCGCGGGGGGCTGGGCCGGCCGCGCGGCCTGGCGCGCCGCCTGGGACGCCATGCGCACCTCCGCGCGCGAACACGTCACGCTCGTACACTTCAACACACTGCACGACACGCTGCACAACTATCTGCGCAAACATCGCTTCTGCGCCGATTGCAAAACTAAGGTGAGCCAAATTTACAAATACACTTAAAGCTATACGCATTCAAAATATTAAACATAGAAAACTCTCTAAAATTACCAAATATATTAAACATAACTAGCGATCCGCTCCGGCTTAACACGGGTGATTTCTGTGTTTCAATAACAGCGCCACCTACCGGATCCAAATGTGAATTTTAATCATCTAGGGACCTATTCAAACACACAACAAAAAAGTTTTTTAATTTTACCGAGACTAACAGGCAGCAATGGGTCTGGCCACTCAATTTTATTAAAGGTATCAAAAAATTATATAAAAAATTACGAATTCAACGGTATTCTTATGTTTTTTTCTACCTTTAAAAATGTGGTGTTTTACGGTTTTTAATTATTATCGTCATTCATTGATTACATTATTCATAATAATAGATTAGATTATTAGATTAAGTTATTCATCATAAATAATATTGATTACATTGGATTAGATTAGATTATTCATAAATTATTAGTTCAAAATTATTATATAGTCGTTGGGTTTATTATAACTAGTGTCTGACCGAAACAGAATTTTCAACCGAAACCGAAAACGAACCTTCGGTCTGGGCGTCAGTTTCGGCCGAAACCGAAACTTATTTAGACATGTTAATTTCTTTTATTATATACTCAAATCTGGT